GGGGGGAGGGGGTGGCACGTTAATTAGAATGGCTCCAAGAGAAGCTCTAATTAAAGCACTGCAGCATCTTGTGTATCAGCATCCCAGTGCTTCAAAATGGAGGCGGGGGCACTTGAACTAAAGCTCATTTGCCAAGCTTTAGTTCAAGTGATCCCACCACCATTTTGAAGCGTGGGAACACTGATACACGAGATGCATTAGGCTGCTGGAGCATGGTAATTACTGTGCTCCAGCAGACTCGATTAATCAACTTAGATGTGTGCCTAAGTAATTATAGTGCATCGGAGAGCCTCTACACTCAGGGGTGTATAGGCACCCTTAAAGACTAACTCATTAAGTCTACTTCATCAGATGCTACAAATGGCCTTGCAAAAAACTAGCAGTCATAACTACTAAGGCACTAGTGGTCATATTACCATTCTACAAGTAACTGATAAATGCCATTATCTACATAGTCACTGCCTTTTCCTGTGAATTACCATATGTGGCAGGGCACTGAAGTGCCTGCTCCTAAAGAAGGACAGGTGTTGGTTGCTGGGGCAACCACAAGGGTCAGCTGACCAGGAGGGGGCAGGGCCTGACCTATATAAACAGCCCAGGCTGAGGCCATAGGCAGTTCCCCTCTGGCAGTGGAAGAAGGTGGAGTTCTATGGGAGCAGGAAGACTTGAGAAGCCTGATGGCCTGAGCAGCTTATGGGCAAGGATACCAGGCAGAGGAACCCCTGGCAGGGATGGAAACGATGATTAGCCAGGAGGCTTATTTTGTGTTGCAGCCAGTTGGCTTATGGTTTTGCTTTGTGGTTATACCGGAGGACTGGGTGAGGCTGTAGGGGTTGGAGGAGGCCTCATGGGAGCTCCCCAGTAGTGTGGGGGTTCCTGGCACTGGAGAGGGCACTGCGTTTTGGGTTGTCCTGACCCTGGGCCCAGTGGGGGCAGTATTGGGAGGAGCCCAGTGTGGGCGCAGGCAAGAAGCCCCAGTGGGGCTTAGGACCCAGAAAGGGGGTCTGAGGGCCAGGTGAGGCCGAGGCCGCCTGAGCCCCAATTGCAGGAAAACCCCAGTGGGGCGTAGGACCCAGAAAGGGGGTCTGGGGGCCAGGTAAGGCCGAGGCCGCCTGAGCCCCAATTGCAGGAAAACCCCAGTGGGGCGTAGGACCCAGAAAGGGGGTCTGGGGGCCAGGTAAGGCCGAGGCTGCCTGAGCCCCAATTGCGGGAAAGCCCCAGTGGGGCGCAGGACCCAGAAAGGGGGTCTGGGGGCCAGGTAAGGCCGAGGCCACCTGAGCCCCAATTGAGCAAAGCCCCAGTGGGGTGTAGGACCCAGAAAGGGGGTCTGGAGGCCAGGCACGGCTAAGGCCACCTGAGCCTCAAGTGCGGGAATCACGAGGGAAGGCCCAGGGAGGGCGTGAGCACAAGCAGAGCTCCAGGGAGGGCGAGAGTATCGCGTTGAGCCCAGGAGGGCGTATAAGAATAAGAAGCCCCGGAGAGGGCACAGCAATCGGGATTAAGGGGCCAGGCAAGGCCGAGGCTGCCTGAGCCCAATTGTGACGAGTCCCAGTGAGGGCACTGGCACGAAGCCCAAAGTGGGCGTGTGTTAAGCCCCGGGGAAGGCAAGCGCACGGAGAGAAGCCCTGGGGAGGGTGAGCGCACAGAGAGAAGCCAAGCTCGGAGGGCGTCAGTGAGAGCGCGGGCAACAAGAATAGACTAGGCAACGTCTGGGACAGCTGAGAGGCTTGGGGCGTGGTATAAAGGGTGGCAGGAGCCACGCATAGCCCATGAGGCTGGGTGCACCAATTCAACCTATATAGAACAGGGGCCAGAAGAAATAAGAGCACCGTGTCCAAGGGGATATAAGGCAGCCTCCCTTACAATACTTATGTCATCAAAGACGTGGCGGGCGAGAACGAGGGTGCTTGATGGACAACTTGGCACGGTAGGGGGTGCCAGGAGAGATGACGGCCGCTCCTGGGTCCCCGCCCTGTGACACCATATATTACTAAACTACTAAAATTAGTTGAACCTGGGTTTTTCAAACAAGCCTAAGGGAGTTAGCTGCATCTTCCTTCCAAAAAACAAAACCCAAAATAGCTATCAAAACACCTCTCATTAAATCCCTACACCTCTATGGGCTTCTCTGACAATCCAAGCGGAAAGCAAATAACTATGAGTGCCTGCTCCAACTTGCTGTAATTATAGCATGTCAGAGCAGACTCCATTAATCGAGTCTGTTGGAGTGTGGCAATTAGCATGCTTTCAGCAGCCTCTGCATCTCATGTATCAGTGTCCCTGGGCTTCAAAAAGGTGGGGGTGCTTTAACTAAAACTTGTTCAATGAGCTTTAGTTGAAGTACCCCCACTGCCATTTTGAAGCGTGGGGATACTGATAGATGAGGCACGAAGGGCATTTTAATGAGATGGGGCTCTCAGAGGGTAAAATATCAACTGTAGGAATACAATTAATTCCATAATCCTCTTGATTTTTTTCAATGGGAATTAGATCTACCTTCAAGGATGAGTTTTATGTTCAAGGACAAACTTAACCTTTGAGGACAAGCTTTACCTTCTAACTCCTGATGACAAGCCAAAATTCTGCTTTTTTTTTTGTATCCACAATAGAAAA